TTTTCTGTGACATGCAGGACAGAGGTTGGAAATCAAAACCTTACACCAAAGCTAGAGAACCTTGAGAAGCAAGATAGAACAACAATTTTTCATTATTTTTTGACTGATATCGACTAAATTTCTGTGTCAAGCTACTTGTTTTTCCTCAGTGGAAATAGACAGGTTTTACAGCCCTGTACACCAAATGTATCTGCTGACAAATCTTGCCTCGAAGCTGTGTTGGGCAAGAGAACATTGCAAGGAGATACTAGTAACACAACAAAACTGCAGTTTCGCTCCTGCCTACCTCTTTCCTTAATAAACAGTTCGAACAATAGGTATAGTGCAATACGTCTCTGAGGAGGTAACCCAAGACAGCTACTCCACGGAGCAAGATAACAGGCGAAAAAAGCCCAAAACAAAATAAAGAGCAAAAGGAGAGGCAGGCAGTGCTGCGCTGCAAGATTAGATGGGAGAAAGATAGAGTGGGTGGGCACTTTGTGAGAGAAGAATTCAGCTAATCTTCTGGGGAAGTTTCTCCCTTTTGTGTTGACAATCAGAGAGGTTTTTGTCAGAAAACCATAATCCTGTTGGTTAATTGGGAGCGTTTAAAGGCCCGGCTGAAAACAGGTGTATTTGTTTTTGGTGGGTCGACCCTCTGTTTGGAGTTTGTTATGAAGAAGGCTGACGTCAGCCGCACGAGGAGGCGAGACAAAGACATCAGTTGTCCTCGCGTAACACCGAATTCTGCTGCTATGTCAGGTTATTCCAGGAAACAACTCCGCAGAAATGCAAGACACACCTCAAGCATGATCACATCATAGTGAGAATATTTCAGAAAAGGACACTGTGATGTCATCTGCTGCTTGGCGCGCTCTTGGTTTGAAGCTGTAAGGCTGTCTTCCTGTATAGACTTCGTGCCATAGGACACCAGTCTCAGAATAAGCCTCAAGTGGCCATTTGAGGAACTGCAGCTATTAGCTCTGGCACTATAGTGATTTGAATTCTGATGTGAATTTTGTTCAAGTGCAGCAGAGGATGAATCCTAATCAGTCCATCTGCCATGTTTCTCGTCTTCCTTGAGCACTGAGTGACCCTAAGTGGCATTATTAAGGTGTGATGTAAGTGTGTGGAGGGTTTTGTGGTTGTACCCCCTGCCGGCGATGTCAGCCCCAGCTGTGTTCAGCTCGACGCGGTGCTAGCGAGCCTTCGCTGGAGGGGGTTGCAATTCATTCCCTCTGTCTTTTCTTACAATACGTTCTTTTTTGGCGGGAAAGCACCAAAGACGCTTCTTTGACCCAACTTGTGTTTCTTTGCGGCAGGGCCCGCCTCCAACCTCATACACCATGTCCACCCTGTCTTGATTGATTTTCAGTGCACATTTTGGAAGGGATTAAAGCCATCTGCAGCCTCTCGAGGAACAAAGGGTGCTACTCGCTCTCCTCCCTTTAGCACTTCAGAGGGATAACATGGGCAGATAAACATGCTCTTGCACCGCTATACACTTGTTTTCTATTCTGCTTTGACCTCTCAACCCACCCAAACTGCCCACTCTACGTTTTTGTCTCCCAAATGTCGTTCCGCTCTGTGGACTTACCAGTTTTTCCACAGTGCTCAGTGCAGAAAGATCGGTGATTTAAAAACACTGTTGCATGTTGCTGTAGAGGTTTTTCCATGCATATATCAGCATGGCATGAAGTGAAGTTTCCTTTTGGAAATCACCTCTTACAGCTGTTACGGGGTGTTATGGGAACAAGAAATTGTCAGCTGGGAATCTGGGAAGCCAAAATGTGGTCATAGAAGTCTACAAGGACTCATCCTCAGCTGGTGCCGAGCTGACGGAGAGGCAGCAGGAATCACAACCACCGAGTCAAACAAAGAGGTGGATGGACCAAGTTTTGTATGAGCTAATGTTCAGTTACCGTGAACTATGGAACAACCATTTGCATCTGTGGGGAAATAAAGCACATTGAAATCCCTGGCTGTGTCTTCATCACTTCTTTGACCACCTAACTTGTGCAACAGTGTAACTCATCACCTCAGCTTATACACCAGATAAAAAATGTAACAGCCTTTGGGATAGAGGCCGAAGAGCTTCAGAGGTCATTTAAGAGCCTTCAGCGCCATTTGGCACAAAGAGACTGAGGTTTGAGATCGCTATCAAGTGTGTGTCAGAGCATCCCAACCACTGTTTTGGATCTACGACAGCACAACAACCAGCAGCTGTGGACCCAAGTTATGGGAAAGATTAGATGACGAACCCGTGAAAAGACAGCTCCAGTGAGGGGAAAAGGATCCAGATGAAGGATTAGTGTGAGAAGCCGCACTTAGAGAAATGGCAGCGAGCGTACCGAAGGTTTGTGTAAGAAACGCAGCTGATAATCTGGCAGTTACACAACCACAGAGAGAGAAGCAAAGCTGGTTTCAGCTCTAATAAATAGCCAAAAACAAAACAAAGAAACAAGAAAAAACTACGTGATAACGCCGTAAGCAGTGCTGATGAGTATATTTAGGCCTTATGTTGCGATTGTGTCAAAAATCCCCAGAATCATTTCACATTAGGAAAACTGCAAAACTACCTCCGGGTTTATTATTAAGTTTGATTCATCCTCTGATTTTTTTTTTAAAGCTGGATAACAGGAAGAGCTTGTGCTGAGCCTCAGCAGTGGGTGGGGTGTTCTGCTGTGCCGTGTTTGGGCGCACCTTTCCACCCGTCTGCACTCTCATCTCTGGAGCTTTGTCTCCGGCCACTTCCCTCTAAAGTCCGCACCCTGGAACACTCTCCCACTGCTTTGGATTCTCCTTTCTTGAGCGCTTCCTGCTTTGCTAAGCTGAGCATTGAAGGAGTCGCTGCCATCAAAAGAGGATATTTGACGACAATCCCCAAAGTGTTATTGGGATTTTTTCTCTGTTTGTGTGCATTTAAACTGAGCAGTGTAACTGTGCTGTGTAACTGTGTCCTTTTTAAGGGGTTCAACCTCGGGTCACAGACAAGTGACAACAATGCAGGAAGTTGAGCTTTGTCAAAATGTCACATGATGTATAGGTAGGGAATATAATTTGAGTGCTCTTTGTTTTGGCTTATCAGCTCTGCAGCAGTAAGCTCAGATGGACTGGAGGGGAGGGGGCTGAGTATTTTTATGTGTGTGTGAAGAGCCTGGCAGCTCGAGGCCACCCAGCCAAAGGATGTTATAAAGGGGCACTGAGGCAGTAAATGGTCGGGGAGGCTGGAGGTTCACTCGCATCAGCTCCTGAGACAGTGGCGCCAAACCTGTGCCTTTCTACGGGAGCGCAGCCAGACGTGGGAAGCATTCTTTTCAATTAAACTTAAGCACTAGGTTAATTCTCCCAGCTGCTCTTTTCCACATGGCTTTACTGCTCACAGTAAATCGGAGAGTTTTCTGGAGGTGTTTATGCATCAGTGATCACAGCGATTCCTCATCTATCCATGTTCCAAGCAACTCGACCTCTGAGCAGAGTGGAAAACACATTGCTTTGATTGTCTCCTCGTGCACACGCGGTCAGGATAAAGCAGGCGACTGTGTGGCACCTCAGCTCAGCCGGGCCTGCCGTGCCACTCCCTTAATGGCAATTTATAGCTTCCTGTCCTGAAAACGGGAGGCTGAAGACAACAGAATTCTTCTCGCTGTTTTTCGACCTTCCCTTCCCTTCCCTGTCCAAATACCCTCAGGGTCCCAAACAGTCCCTAAATCTCTCCACCCTTTCAGGCCCTCTCGCTCTCTTCGGCCACGCCATTTGTTCTGCCCTTTCAGGAATCTGATTCATGAGCACTTGAAGTGACTTATGTTCTGAGAAAAGGTAGCCACGGAAGAAGCCTTACATGCTCTAATGGAGGCTGACCAGTTTTAATGATTTGGTTCTAAGAGGATTAGGGAGCACGAAAAGCTCAGTAGAGTAAGAAGACCTTAAAAAGTTAAAGAAAAACACACAAACACACACATCTGAAATCTGTTTTTTAACAGAATATTTTAATAACACAGACAAACATAAAAATAATCCACAATACTGAGACAATACTTTTTTCATGCTTTTGTTTCTAGACTTTCTTATGAACATATTTACATTATATTCACATTTACACACAAAAATGGCAGTGTACGCATTAAAGGCATACCGTGTCAGCAGATTATGGTCATTTGGTACGAACCCCTCCTCCTTGCTGATATAGTGCACATCAGATCATTCTTTACAGAACTCATTTCACACATTAAATGCATATTTTATTGTTTTCTTGAGCTAGCCTCGTCCAACCAGAGTAATGTCCTTCCAATGAGAGGTTTTTTATTTTTATCATCAGTGTATGAAATTTGCTGATTATAAAGAGTCGAGTAGCGTTTACTTTCCATCAGTATGTGAGAGCAGAAAGCAGAAGGCGATAGGACAACAGTCAGATTTGCATCTGCTTTGGCAAGACTCAAGCAGCTTTGCTCTTTACGTTTAAATACTCTTCAAAATCAAAGGCAGTCCAGTCAGCTGTAGTTTTGCAGAAATATTGCATGCAAATTAAACACGTCTTACCTTACATGACTTATAAAGTTTGCGTCTCCTCACGGAAGCAAAAACGAATCTCAGACAGGCTACAATAGGAAGGTGCTCTCAGCACTATATCGAGCTGTGAAGCCTGCTCAGGTAGCCATAGCTTTGTTACTGTTGTACGTGCTCGCATTTATCTGAACATATATTAAATTCTCAGTTGTTTCACTATGCTACATATAGTTGCTTTTTTTTTTAAAACATTTATTTGGTTTTCAGTGCTTGCAGCATCACACTTTCTAGATCATTCCCTTTCATTCAGTGCAAGTTGTTTTTAATGTTTCTCTTAGCGTGGACTTATATCATCTCCTTCATAAAACTAACACTGAAGACAAGTGTCACGTTGTCCTGTTATTATCTGATAAAATACATTATGAATAGACCGCAGCAACACCTGTGTGACGCGTACGCTCCACAGGATATCAGCTGATAGCCTTGAGCTTTTTATAGAGCTTTTCTTTTTTCTCTTTTTTTCCCTAAGTTTCAATGCGATGACTCTCAGTAGGCCTGAATTAATGGAAAGCTTTTTCATCATTACATCATTTTACTTTGACCATCTTTATGGCATCACTGCTTAAGCTTCGTTTCAGCCGTGTCCCCCCTCAGTGTCACGAAAACCACTGGGCTCTTTGCAACAAGTGACCGCGTATTGCACTGAAATGGTGTCTGAAAAGTCCATTTCACTCCTCAGGCCTTTGGGAAGACTACACGAGCTGACAGTCGCCCGTCTCGGCTTCTTCCCGAACGTGGAACAGGGCTGAGTTTGGCCTGGCGCTCAGCACAGCTTCCAATTTTGTGTAGCAGACGAGCTGAGTTTTTGCCTCAGTCTACGGGCAGCTCGCAGGGTATCTGCTGGGCTGCTTTGGCTATGGTGTAAGCCCTCTGGAAGTCCTTGTAGCGCGGAGCGCAGCCCAGCCAGGCCTCGCCGAAGTGGACTCGGCCGGTGAAAAGGAAGCTCCCGGGTCCGGGTTTGACGCCACACTGGAGCAGAGTCCTGATCTCGCCCCGGCTGCTCAGGCGGCTGTTCCCGGTGAACAGCGTGTACTTCTGCCGAAACACGCGGGTGGCGCTGACCTTGATCACGGCCGCTCTTAAGTTCTCGTCCTCCTCCACTGACTTGATGTTGCCTCGCACCACTGCAAATTAGGAGGATATTCAGGTTAACATTAAAGCTCATTTCCAGAATAATTATGCATGTTTTAAGCCTTGGTTCAGACTCTGCGAGCTACCAACAGATAAAAAACCTTAAGAAGTCCCTGACCTGCGTACTAATCAATGAACTTTTGTTCAGTCAGCTCTACTTCTCCTCAGCCCTTTACAGCTCAATCAGAGGCCTGCAGATTAGTCCACTACTCCTTCTCTAGGGGGGTGATGCTGGG